TAAGCTCTTAGGGGCTCCTGGGTGGCTCAGTTGGTTAAGTGTCTGACTTCAGCTCAGGTCATGATCCCAGGGTCCTGGGATCAAGCCCCGCATCGGGCTCCCTGCTCAGCTGGGAGCCTGCTTCTCCCTCTGCCCCTCCCGCCCCTGCTTGTGCTCTCTCTTTCTCTCTCTCAAATAAATAAATAAAATCTTAAAAAAAAGAACTTAAGCTCTCAAAATAGGTAGTTAACAGTATAACAATGTATAGCATCTACTGGTAAATATAAGGACTCATACAAAACCTGGACGAAAGTAAAATAGTATAAATATTGGACCTAATAAGAATGTCAAGATTTAAAAACGTCTTCATAATAACAGCAGAACTATATTGAAGATCCAAATTCAGTTCCAAGACTGGAAATAAGAGGGGAAAATATCCCCCAAACAAAATTATTTTAAAAAATATAGCTACTAGCAATTACATGAGGATCAATTTTAGATGTAAGGCGAGCTTTGTTGTCCTGGCAGTTTTCATTCACTCCCTTTTGTTTGGGCTTAGTAGAATAGGTCCACTACATCTCAGGGGATCCAGGAGATGCAGGAGATGCATAGGTCCCTTGACTGGGCCATGATTAGCTTACTCACTGAGCCTCAATAGAGATAAATATAGTAATTTTGCTATTTCTATCCTTGATGTGTTTTGAATCTTTCAGACAAGCTTAAGAAATAATAATTCTGAGCTTTATCAATATCATTTTAAAATTATTCTGAGTTATTTATTTATTTATGAAGATTTATTTATTTGACAGAGAGAGAGAGCAGGGGGAGGGGCAGAGGGTAAAGGAGAGAGAGAATCTCAAGCAAACTCCCTGCTGAGCATGTAGCCCAACTCAGGGTTCCATCCCCCAGGACCGACCCTGAAATCATGATCTGAGCTGAAATCGAGAGAATCAGATGCTTAATCAACTAAGCTACCCAGGCACCCCTGAGTTATTTAAATTATCCTAATGCAGTGAAAAAAGTCTGAACATTTTTTTTTACCCGTGCAATAAATAGTCCTCATAATAAAGTTACTCATGCAAAAATTCATCAGCTGAAATATTGGTATGAACCAAAATTTCAATTCCAAAATACAACTAATTCATATTAAAAGTCTTCTTTTAAAAGGTCAACTTCATGCTGAAGTGGCTCAGTTCCTGCAAAGTGTCAACAGTCACTTGTACTTGAAGAGAACTCATGTATTGTCTTGACATGCCCTTTTACAATGTGAATCTTAAACGTCAAATGAACAGGAGCTTCCTTTCCCCTCATCTGTATTTTTCATTAAAAAGCTGTAAAAGCTTTTTCAAGGCAAGACTGGTTTTAAACTAAGATTTAGATCTTATAATCTTAATTGAGATGATCACTTGGTTCTTGTTCACTTTCCTAAATGCAAACTCAATACCTGTTTTCTCCCAGCTTATTTCCAAAATCAGAACCTATCTGATGCCACATAAAAGGAAACATTTGTCAGAAGAGTTTTCTTAATTGCTATAAAATGGAACATTTGGAGGGTGAGTAGAATATCACAGGCTTAGTATTCTTGTAACACTCAAGCCTAAGCTCCACACTAAAAAACACGTTTGCTTAACTGATTTGTTTTACTGTTGGGTGAGCGAGATGGGAAAGAATTTTAATTTTTAAATCTATTATTTAAATTTATTTTATGTATAATACAAATATTTTTGTATCATACATTTATAATAAATGTAAAATATGTAATGCATATACTGTATACACATAATATTTATAATATAAAATATTTTAATCAACATTTAATAAAATAAAAAAATAAAAATTATTTATTAAATATTTAAATTATATTATTTAATCATTTAAAATTTAATAAATTTCCAGCCTTATGTCTGGGACAACATCAGAATGAGTTTTGATGCACCTGAGCATAGATAATCTGCTCCTTGTGCACCGCGGAAACTTCCATGGCATACTATCTGGTCTCTTTACATGTTATCCTGGTCTCTGATGGGTGAATTCCAGTACAGTTCTAGATCAATGTGTCCACCTCTACCATATGCATCCCAAACAGGAAAAGACTGTGGGAAGCTATATTTCAGTCTGAAAAAACTCCAGAGACTGTAGATGTCTGTAAGAACAATCTGTGTATGTTTGTAGGAGAAGGAGCTGGGGGAATGCAACCATGATAGTGGTTTCCAGGCTTGGCTCAACAGCCTTGGAAAACACTGCATTTATTGGCCTACCCTGGGTAAACAGAATCAGACTCTGGGATGAGCCTTCTTGCCTCACTCTAGGTTATTTTTTTTTTCCTAATGACATTATTTTATTAATCATTTACTGGTGCATGTGAAAGAAAGCTTCTCTCATATCAATCTTTAGTTGAAGGTCTGAGATCTGAGATTTCACTTAACTTCCTTCCATAATTCCCTTATCTTTTTCCATAAGCAAATATTTCCTGTCTTACAACTTTCTTTGACACATTTTTCCACTGGTATATTCAGACTGAATTTATGTTGTGACATTTAAAAATTTTATGTCATAATTAATTACTACAGCACATTTATGAAAGGAAGAATTTTGCTCCCTAATTTATATTAAGAAGAGATACACACTTTAAATGTATCAATATTTCTTTCCATTTAAAAAATTTAAATGACAATTATTAGTTTTCATCATAAAAATTCAAAACAATTACCTGCACTCATCTTGTTTAATAGCTTATTCCATTCACAATTTTTGTTTTTTTCCTCTCCATTATAAAAACATCTTTTGGTTTCCACATGTAACTCAAAGAATGCCCTGTTAAAGTGGAGTTTTATTCTCTGAACTTCTTCAGAGCTCTCATATTAAAAGTCTTGAGCATTGTAAATGAGTATACCTTCCACATCTGTAATAAAAGCTAACGTTTATGAACAATTATGTGCCGAAAACAGTGCTAAGTACATGATCTAAATTATCTTATTTAATCTCCATATCACAAATTAGAACCCAAAGCCTGGGGGTTCAAGTAATTGCCTAAACCAATACTTGTAAGTGTCAGACCCTGCAAAGGGAAGAGCAACGTCTAGAAGTACATATTAACAAGTGCTTTGAGACACTGGCAGACAATGGACTGAAGTATGCAATATTTAGCACTGATCTATTCATTAATATGCTTTTTGTTGCACATAGAATTAAAATTAATGTGAGGTGTGCAGGGTCCTAGAAAAACTTAATGTTATGGACTTGCAGGTCAACTCATACCAAAGACCATATACCATGCATTAATTCCTTTTGATAAGTGACAGAATTGAGAGTCACAAATTTGAATAATGGTTCTCTATTAGACTACCTTGCCTGGTAGTCTCATATGTGTCCACTATGTTCACAATCATCCTATCCTCTTAATTAAGAGAGACTCATCCAGGCTTTAGACAATTTTATTTAAAATAATTTTCTTGGGAGAAAAGGGAGAAATTCAGCTATATATTAAAGTATCCAGTCCACAGAACCATTTGGGTTGCATGTTTCACCCTTTACTTTTAAGACCCATCTAAGGAACAGCAGTATCTTCCTACTGCCATGCCAGTTTTCCCATTTTGGGTATTTGCTGAGTTAGATGTCATTCTTTTTTGGAAACTTTTCTTCATGGCTCTAATTCGAAGTTTTAAACTCCTGATACATTTAAAACAAAGATTACTTAGAGTCTGGCCTCGTAAAATAGAGGTATGAATTAAAAAATGAATTCCATCTCAAAGAAGTTGGGAGAACAGGAAATGCTGCCAAGAAACTGCATTAAGTGAGGCATGAAGAGAAGCTATTTCAGCCCTCTTGACTTAAGGGCAGAACACATATGCATTCAAAATAAAAGATTTCTTCAGGCTTAAAGATTTTTAACAATAGGAGCTGATGATCAGTGAAGGAAAGAAGCATGCTCTAATGATTTTTTTGGACCAGATCTACTTGACCTTTCATTTTCTCAAAAAATCCTCCAATAAAGCATCTACTCCATTTTTTCTCTCCCAGCATCCCTAACAATTATTTTCATTCTCATGATTCAACTGGCTTTCTCAAATGCTTTTGTGAGGAGTAGAAAGGGGAAAGGGAACCATGTTGCTCAAGGAGTGACAGAAATATTCAAGGACTGTGAATGAAGTAATAAAAGAAAACTAATGCGATCCTTTAAAAATCTACCCCATCCCATGTTTCTGGTCATTAAGCATGAGTATAATGGCTGCTTGTACATGATTTTTTTTCCCCATCAACTATGACATGATTGCCTTTAAGCTATCATATCTTCCGGCACTTTTTGATACTTTACAACATCAACCATAATGCTGAGCATGCAAAAGTCCCCTAATGAGACATTTTAATATGTTAGTCAAAGGATTATTTGGTAGATCAAATAACAACTTTGCTGATTCTTAATTAGCAGAATGCCTGAAAATCGTACATGTGTATTCTTGTCAACAATATATTATTATTAGAACATGTATTGTGACTTGGGATACTACCAGAGGAGGCAAGTGTTGGTTTTAGTTAATCTGTTTCATGGTTCCTCAGCTTTGTGTTCGGAGACGGAAGCAAAGGAGAAAAGATAGATACAGATCTTGAAGACAGATATAGGAAAAAAGGGAGAAGAAACATTAGGGTAGATTAAGAGGAATGAGTAGACAGACTAGATATAGTGAAGCTGCAGTTCAGAGGAATCTGTAAGACCAATCTGGGCGTTATCTTTGCACGACGAAAATATAGAAAATTACCGTATACCTTGTTTGATTTTTTTAGAGGATACAGGCTTTTATATGCATTCATTTGCTGAATTTCCAAGGTCATGAAATAGCTTTGTGAACATTCTGGTTAAGCCTTTATAAAACATAGATAACAATGTTGTTGAGGATATGACGCATCCAATGATATGGGATGACTTTGAATATGGAATTATATGACTGATAATACCATCCCAGAAGACCTTGTTAAAAATCGATGAAAGAACTGAGATTTAAAATATTTAGACATATACTCACCCAACAGACAGGAAAGGCTCCTTTGACTCAAGTCTATGAAAAAAATATGAAAAATTAATTTTAATATAACAATTTGCTATATACTTAAAATTGCTTTTATAGGAATCTGACAAAATTATTATACTTGTTTGGGTGAAAATGTATACATTAGCACTAATAAAAAGCTATAAATAATATATGAAGATCTAATCTGGGCTAATTCAAATTCTGGCTGGCTTAATGCAGAAGCTAATGAGAGAGACTTGGAATGGGAATGTACCATTTAAATGAGACATTAAGATAATAATACTGTTAGTTTAATTCTGATTTGCACTCTCTATATCCTCTTTTCTTTTTTTACAGTAATTTGTAGAAGTGTGGATATATCTATTTGTAGTTGTTGTAGTGGTAAAGAAATTTATTATGTATTTAGTTACATATTGGTTGAGTAATTGATTTCCGGTAAATATTCTATAACAAAGAGAGAAACAGTATGACATTCATTGTCATTTACCATCAGTAGCACATTTGGGAGTTGGGGGGGGAGTTAGGTCATAGATTAGGAGCTTAATGCCTCCTCTTAATGTCTCCTAAGAACCACAAATTTTTTTTTTACCTCCTGAGGAATTCTAATTCTGAAATCTCTGATTAATTGTGGCATCTTGAGCTAAGCAACTTAAAAAACTTTCTGGGAATTACTTTTCTCATTGTAAAACAGGCTAGGAATGCTTCCAGTTAATTTTCTTATTTCATAAATTAATTTCTTTGCAAAAAGCAAATCAATCAGGAAATTTTCCACTTCTAAATATTCCCTAATTAATAATTAAGGGGATCAATTGTAGGTGTATATTGGCCACTTCATTTTTATATGTTTCTTGACATATGATTATGGTTTAAATGTAAGCAAATATTAAAGACATTTTTATTGAATCCTGGTGTTTAAGATGATGTAATGAGCACTGGGTATTCTATGTAACTGATGAATTACTAAATTCTACCTCTGAAACTAATAAAAAAAAAGCTCAGAGTTTGGGGATGTACATTTATATAATCTTTTCCTTTTCTGAATTCTGATTTTATTTGCACCTCCCTGTAAATTCTTTGCCATATTGTGTGTTTGTTGTGCCCATATATTTATGATATGAATAAGCAAACAGAACTAAGGGAAAAAAGTTGAAGATAAACAATGAAATATATTTGGATATGCTTGTTTTATAAGACATGACCAGTGCTAAGGGATCAAAAGAAGTTACCTTGAAGAAATGAGGGGGATTCTATATAATGTGATGCAGGCGACCGTTGACTTATTTGGATCATCAACATCCTGACACTGTCACTTCTCCCTTACTTTCTACTCCGCAACACTTAATAAACGGTTTCCTGCTGCCTACAGTGTCCTCCTAGCCTCTCACTGCTGCCTATTTCTTCGTGGCATCGACTAATCCAGTAAAAGAAAACTGAATATCTTGACTCCTCTCTCTTTTTCATCTTCCACATCGCAATTAGCAATGTCCTGTCAGTTTCTCCTTTATGTGACTTTCACATCTCCCTCTTCACTCCGTTCCCAGGTGAATTCTCATCACTTACTCCAGCTTAGCTGGTCTCTCCAAATGTAAATTCTTTGTTCATAGTTGCTCCAACTTCACCCGGTTTCACACTATAGCTTCCTTCAATGCCCCCACTCATATCATTTGTTTAATGACTGCATGCTGTTGCTTTCATTCAAGGTATCATAAACATGAATAAAAGAAAGACCCACCATCTTGCCTTTCCCTGTGCAATTACTAAAACACAGAATGTATTTGGAATAGTATTTACTTATTGAGTTTCCTTTTTTTTCCCCCCTTCAGACAAGCCGTTGTTGGACTGGAGCATGGAGGGACATATGTTGCCCTTCTGACACGAGTAGTTAAGATGGTTAGTCCCACTAACTAGTTAATTGCCTCCTTCTGCTTCTACCACTTCACTCCCTTCAACTATTTCCTCCTAAATGTTCAAGAGAAGAATTCAGGGAAAAATTCAAAATTTTCAAAATGATACGGGCTTGAGATTCTGATTGATGTTCTATAAACCAGGGGTTGGCAAACCCTGGTCTACAGGACAATTCTTGCTCACCATCTGATTTTGTATAACCCACAAACTAAGAATGGCTTTTACATTTGTCTTTTATTTGAATATTGTTGACTCATAATGTTACACAGTCGTTTCAGGTGTACAACATAGTGATTGATTTCAACATCTCTATGGTTATGCTACGCTCACAAGTGGACATTTTTTAAATGAAAAATATCAAAAAAGAATAATATTTTGTGACATGTGAAAATTATATGAAATTCAAATTTCAGAGCCCATACATGAAGTTTATTGGGACACCGTCAGGTTTATTCATTTACATATTGTTTCAGGCTGCTTTTGTGCTACAGCTGCAGGATGATAAGTTGTAACAGGGACCACATATCCACAATTTGAAAATATTTACTATATGGCCTTTACAGAAAAACTATGCCAATGCATGACCTATGATTATCTTGTTGGAAGAACTGGAAACAACCTTTCAAAATAGGCACTCTTTATTTTAATACATATCAAGATACTGTTTCAGAATTAGAAGCTCAGAATAATTTGAATTCCCTCTCTACATCACCAATTCTCTGCACCTACAACGGACAGATCAACTCCCCTACAATGCTATTTTCATATCACCATCTTGACAACTTTGATAATCACAGGATGATGCCCAAACTTTTCAGTGTGTCACTTGAAAGCTTGTCACAAACATGACTCATGCTAATGTTTTATGTTGCTCTTTCTCACTTCTCTTACCAACCGCTTTATTCCAGGAAATTTGTCTATTTATTACCTAAACATATCTTTGCTTTGGTTTCTTGAAGCATTCTATTTCTATACCAGAATACTATTTTTTTCTTTCTTTTCCTATGCATTATCTATTTATCTTATTTAAGATCTTATGATCTTATTTATCTATTTATCTTAGTTTATCTAACTCCTTTATAATGCTAATCCTGACACTTCATCTTACAGGGACAGTCCTGTCACTAAGCTTCCATGACTTATTATCTCCATTACAATGACATATTCTCAGGACAAGAGTCTTGGGTTAAATGGCTAGCTTCAAGTCTTAAGACTGGTAAGAATGTTAACCTTGCAAGTCTACTTAGACAAGAAGCTCCTGAAAGTTCTGTGTTAAATCTTCTAATGGCCCAGGGGAGGTGCTGGCTGATGCTCTATGAGCTGAACAGAAAAGAAAGATCATTATCCATTAGTCATCTTAAGCCACTGAAGATGAGCCCTAGCTACCTGGAGCCCCAAATATTTTCCGTGGTGACACAGACAGGGAAATCTGTGAGGAGCCACCATCAGGTAATCCTGTCTCATGTCTCACCTTCAAAACAATGACACATAGAAGGAAGTGATAACTGGCCTACATTGAACGATGCTCTGTTTTGTAACCAACTGCCCAATCATGGTTTCATTGCACAGACTTAACTTCCCTAACCTTGAGTCGATTCAGAGATTTTTACATCTTTTCTCATTAATTATAGAGCCAACATCATAGCCAACTTAAGAGGCTGTTGTGAAGAATATTAGATTATGTACTTAGAGCAACTAACACAGTTCCTGGTACAAAGTACACTGTGATGGTCAAGACTATGCCAAAGATAGGTTGTTAGTTCTAAGAGCTGAAACTGCCTGAATACATGAAAAGCTCACTTTTGCAATTTTAGTCCTCAAAAGTGAAAAAAATGTAAAAGAAGAAAATTACCAGGAGAAACATCCCTTTGGAGAAAATTGTTTATCAATGTAATCCTTAGAAACAGATGACTACATTGTGATATGCCCAGAAAGAACTTTTTCTGAGTTTTTTTTTTTTTTTAACAAGGTAATTGTTTTGTGAAAAAAAGGATTGATTTTTATCATTCCTAAGATTTACTTTTAACATGAACTGGGTAGTGAATTTAATAATACTTCATTCAGGATCTGCTAGAATGAAGAGTAGAGTAAGATAAACAAACCGTAGCCTTCAGAAACATAGGCACAGTAAAGAGATAAAATAGAATGCAAAATGAAGATCAATATTTGGAGCTAACGGATTTATAACTTTTTGTATTTAACAACAAAAAATCAAAGCTGTATTTACTAAAGACCAGGCATTATTAAAAATGCTTTATAAACACTGATTTATTTAAGCATCATGATATTCTCTGAGACAGATTTCATTTTACAGATGAGGAAACTGATACTCAGAAGTGCCGAGTGTCTTGCCTAAGGTCACATAGCTGTAAAGTGGCTGAGCTAGGATGTGAGTTTAGGCATGCTGGCTCTAAAGTCCACGTGCTAATGTCTTGCCTTGTATATTGCCTTTCATCAGTTTATTTTGTTTATTTTGTTTCTACGTGCCTTATGGCACTGTCACATTTCCTTTCTTTATAATTTCTATACTGAGAAATCTAATCTGGTCTCACGTGTTGTCCACATGCTGGATATTTCCAAACTTTTGTCTCTAGTGTCACTCTATATATGATGTGTGGCTGTATCTGCCCAACCATACATCTCCAATTTTAGGTACCTTCAACTTAACATGTCCCAAACTAAATATTGCCTGCCTCCCTTATTCTGTTCTTCTTTATCCCTAACTCAATGGCCCAATCAGCCACTCAGGTGACCAAACTAGAAAGATCATAATCTTTCTCTTTGACTTCTTTCCAATTACACTCACTTTCAGTAGGTCCTCCTAGTTCTGCTGTTTTCTATTGCCAAAAGTCCTTTTAGTTCTTTACTTACCTCTCAATTCTTATTATTACAGTTCAAGTGATCATTGGCCTTTAGGTGGGCTATTAGAATAATGTCCCTAATGACCCTCCTTCCTCAGTATTTCTTTGGAATAGCCGTGTCTACAGGCAGAATCATCTTTCTAAAATAGCTATTGTACAAATATGATCCTGTAATTCCCCTCATTACACATCTCTGAGTGCTTCTAGGAAGTATTTTTTCATAAGACACCATAAGTTGGTTAGGAGAGCTTCATAACACTT